CTGTTCCTAACACACACCTTTTGCAGTTTTTTCTTTGAGTGTCTGACCAGTAAGATTCTTTGAAAATTTATTTTGCAGTTTATGAATGTCCTTCTTCATGGTGATGGTCTGTGTAGGTGAGCTGCCTGAAGTGTAGCAGGCTGACGTGTAGGCAGCCGGCCAACCTCTTCAGGACAGCTACCTCAGGACACACCCTTTCCTTTGGCCGCCCTTCAGCAAAAAGTGAATGTCAGAGGCTTACAAAGATCCAATTCCTCTGTCCTAAGTCAGGACAACACTGAAAAGCATCTCAGATTCAGAGTCAAGACCTTCACTGACAATATGAGTCCTATTAGCTCTTCACTTTCTCTGATTCAACACCACCAGCTCCACATCTGTTGTTCCTGAAGGCTTTCCCAGACTGCCGCTACTTCAGTTTGACTCAGAGAATGGTTCCAAGGCATTAGTGCCAGGTCTGGTCTATAAAAGTAGAAACTAAGATAGAATTTATGACCTGAATCATGGCCGCTTACTGCTCTAAGGACCTCTTACTGGCGACAGGCATAAGACAGATAGTCCTTGGCACAAGGTAGCACTGAGTGGTTAAAGCCTTCATCAGCAATGAACTGGAATGGTGTTCTAATAGAAGGTAATATTCTAATGGTGCAATGTAGCAAGCATTTGAAAAATATGAGGGAAACAGTAATATTAAAGACCATGGTAGTGCTGGTTGCTAAGTAAAATTAATTGTTTGAGAACAGCAAAAAAAATCAAAAAGTGCTTAATTAGATTTTAAAATCTAACAGTAAAATGGAGAGAATCTCTGCTAGGAAAGAAAGAGGCTTTTATTCTGCAGTAGGAAGGCAGAAGAACCTAGGAACTGGCCCAACTCTAATCATAAGTGTGGCTGAGCTCCAAAGGGAATTAACCACCAAACCCAGGGAGCGAGGCTGTTCCAAGGTCAGGATGTTGTTCAGACAGAGACACAATGGGCTGGGTTGTGGTACCTCAAAGTCTAGCATTTCCAGTTCTCCTGAATCCTCTGAGCCTTACTGTGGACCACTTTTCCCGGTTAAGTGCAGGGGATCTGCAACCTTCATGGCCAGGAGAGAGAGGAGCACAGAAGATGAGAAGACAGTTTGGCTCCCCAGCGCTCAGCAGCCACTGTTGGTTCACATGTCAGGAGTCTGACCCTCAATTGCTCACTGTAAACATATTTTCAGCATAGCGCAATTCACTTAACACTATTCTGATGGTAATTAACTCAGTACTACATCCACAATAAAGTCTTGCATTCAAAAATAAAATAAAAGACCCCTACTGCTGCCCTTTTGTCTCCTGTCTCCTTGGAAGACCAGCTGTCCCTGTTTCAGTGCTGAGGAGTTCTGTCCGGAGAGAACCTTCATCTGACGATGGATGGAGATAGAGACAGAGACACACATTGGAACACTGGACTTGACTCCCTGGGTCCGGATGGGAAGCGGATGGAGGGAGAGTGCGGGCAAGGAAGGCAGAATCGGACGGAATCTTCATCAGACGATGGATGGAGATAGAGATGGAGACCCACACTGGAGCACTGGACTGAGTCCCCAAGGTCCAAATGAGGAGCGGAAGGAGGGAGAACAAGAAAGAGTCAGGACCGCGAGGGTGCGTTCACCCACTGATACAAGGGGACTGGTCTGGTGGGAGCTCACCAGGGCCAGCTGGACTGGGACTGAACGAGCGTGTGATCGGGTCGGATTCTCTGAATGTGGCTGACATGGGGGCTGACTGGGAGGCCATTGACAAAGGTGCTGGGTCTTGGTCTGCATGTACTGGCTTTCTGGGATCCTGGTCTGATTGGATGCTCACCTTACTGGACATGGAGGGAGTGGGGAGGAACTTGGACTTCCCGCGGGGCAGGAGGCCCTGACTGCTCTTGGGACTGGAGTGGGAGGAGGGGAGGAAGTGGGGGGAGTGGGAGGGTATTGGGAGGAGGGGAGGAAGTGAAAATTTTTTTATAAATAAATGAATAAATAAAATAAAATAAAATGTCCTTAAGGAATAGCATGAACTAAATACAGATTTGTTGTGACTACACTGAAATTCTTTGTAAAGTCCATAAAGATGGATTCTGTAGATTCAGAAAGACAGGTTTATGATTGACTAAGAAAAATATATTTATGATAAGGTCTGGAGAGGACCCGGTGCTGGAAAAGTGTCTTGCCACACAGCACAAAGGCCACCAGGCTAGAATGCAGTCCACCGCAGCCTTCTTGGTAGATAACAGGTTTCTATTCCTTCCCTTGAAGGACCAACCCTGTGAGCTTAGCATTGTAGGCTCCCCTAATGCTTATCTGTGAGCACAAAAATCTTCATACTGCCTACAGCTATTGGCTTAATCTGTTATTTGAAACCCATACCGATGCCTCTTTAGAGTTGGGATCAGCTCCATCTGAACACTAGGCATATGGCCAAGGCTAGGTTACAACAAGTTGGCACAAATATTGTAATGAATGGCCAGGACTGTGTGACAGTAAGGTGGCTGAGCTGACCTGCAGAAAGCTAAGGAGATGCAGCTAGAGTGTGGTTCCTGGAGACAAGGGCGATGGACAATAAGTAAGGGTACCAGTCAGTTTGTATGAGAAACCAAGATTACATTTGTAACCCCAGCATGTGGGCAGCTGAAGTCCTGTGGGCTCAAGCTGCAGCCCACACATTAAGCCTAGAATGAAGGAGAGGAGGAGTCACCACCATGGTGGTGAAGGGTGAAAGGGGGTCCACGGAAATGGGAAGCACATGACCAGGGGATGTTGGTAACACTGCAGTTCGGAGCCAGGGTGCCTACACTTAGCTGCGTGTGTTCTATAGGAAAGTAGTCATGTTCCCTTGTGAATACCATTTAAGTTAATAGGGAAAAGATTTATTGGAATTATTTTTTTAATGAAGCATTTAGAAGTTTCATATTTTTAACTTACATGGTTTCAGTAGTCCTTCTGCATTCTCAACAAGCATCCAACCACGGAACTTTGTTTCAAGCCCAAGCTCATACAAAGATTGTTGCTACACTAGATGACCGTGGAAGCCAAAATCGCTATAGAATTTCGGGTCACGTTGTATATTACCTTCCCATGAGTTTCCTCATGCGTTACTTTGTTAGGGCACAAACAGAGTGCCTAGAATGCAAGGAGCAAAGAAGAAGAAGAAGAAAAGACTCATATTAGCTGTTGCTGACATTTCTGTTTGTTAAGGACTGTGAGGTCCCAAAGACACTCTGGGCGAATGATTAGCTGTTTAGCATCCCGAAGCACATGCTGGCCGGCTCACTCAGTACCTGTGGCTCCACTCAGCTCTTTTCACCTCTGTCCCACCTGAAAGTTCTCCAGCTCATGAACTTCTTCTCCAGTTTCTCATTTCCACATAACCCTGCCATTTTGTTCATGTGCCCACTAGGCTCTCTATGTTCTCATTGTTCTCTTGTCCCCTCTCCTCTTTGTGCTCTCTCTCTCTCTCTCTCTCTCTCTCTCTCTCTCTCCCTCCCTTCCTCCCTTTCTCTCGTTTCTCTCTCTTCTCATGGCCTTGTTCAGTCTACTGCCCATGTTGTGTCTACTACTTTGTCTCCCTGTTCTGGACTCTTCCAGATGCCTCTGGCTGTACTCCCTCCTAGCTACAATAAAAACCTTCTCCTCAGTCATCCAAAGAGGAGGTGGTGCTGTCTGCTGAAATTGAAGAAAGAGGAGGTGGTGTTGTCTGCTGAAATTGAAGAAAACGGTGGAAGACTGAGAAAAGGGAGGCTGTTCTCATAGATATGTGACAAATGGAAATGACAGAGTTGATTAGAAAGATGTAGAGGGACAGAAGGGCAATCCTGAAAGGCTTGAGTTTAGTTACATAGACCCTTATGTATGTGTTAGTACTCCCACTGCAAAAAATTTCAATCAATTTGGGAAGGAAAAGGTATATTGTTTAATTACTGGGAATAGGGAAAATGATAAATTTTGACTGAAGTGATGGGACTGTGATTTTTAAAGTGGTACTTGAAAGGGAAGAAAAACCTGAAGAAAACAGGATGGCTAAGCAAGAGAATACAGAACAGAGAGATTTGCAGTCCCCAGTAGCAAGAAAAAAATTGAGGCAATGGTAGGAGGGTAGTAAGCTAAGGCACTGAAATTTGATGCAGCTCTCTTTGGAGACAAGGCTCAAGGTGTGGCCATCAAAGTAAGCTCCTGGATGTAGCAAAGGCGATGGCAGATGGGGATGAAGAAATCAACAGATCAAAATGACAAGTCCTCCACTGGGATATGAAAGCGGAAAAAAGGTAAGGGCAGAAACATGCGCGAGTATAAAATAGCTACACGGAAATACAGAAGGTGACAGTAATAATCATTTGTACTGGGAGCAATCAAGGACCTCTTCCCCAGAGGTAAGGGAGGAAAGAAACAGTCTTGTCCGATCTCAGCCACAGAGCAAAGAACGTGGGAAAATTTGCTCACAAAGGAACAGAATCACACAGCAGAGCGCAACCAAGAGATAATTCAGAACGCAGACGTCAGGGTTTTGAGACAACCAAGAAAACACAGTCTCTGATGTGCAGGCCTATCATCGCAGCACCACGGAGAGGCAGAGGCAGAAGGGTCATGGGTTCAAGGCCAGGCTTCTGTTCATCCTGAGACTCAGAAAACAATAAAGAAAAACAAACAAAAATGTGAACTGGGAGGCTTGTCAGGGTCACAGAGTGGAAAGGATTTCAAAAGAATTTGGCAAAAATTGCTAGCCAATTTATTTTTCTATTTCAAACTTTCAAACTTTTTTGTAAGTTCACCTTTCTCTTTCTTTTGAATTTTTCAATTCCTCTGAGTAAAATAATAAAATGAGAATAACACAGCACAGGCCTTAGGCTCCTGCACCCTCTGGCTGCCACTTTCCTGCTCGCAAACCCACTTCCGGGACAGCGAGCTCTCTCCAATCCCTGCTTCCCGCGGGAGGGGGCGAGATCTGGGCGGAGCACACAGAAGTGGGCGGGGCAGTCTAGACTCTTCCGGTGACGTGTACAGTCTGGGCGCTCTGACGTGAGAAACTTCCGCTCTGACTCCCACTGTCTGGAACGCTCCGTGTCCACCTCTTGGAGTCTCTCCTCGGTGTCCCAGAGTTCTGGCCTCTGCGTCCTCGACCGCTACGGTGAGCGCGGGCCGCGTCCCCTCGTGACTGTGCGCCGTGGGCGGGCCGGGAGAGCGCGAGGGCCCGCGGGCGGATGGCGGGGCGCGAGCCGCGTGGGTCTCCCCGCCTCCCAGAGCCCGCCACCCAGTGCGGCTCTGCTGTCCCTGGAGTCCAGGCTTGAGCCGAAAGAATTTCCACGTCATTGGCAGAAACAAGTTTGAGATAAAAAAGAAAAAATCAGGTCTGAGATGTCTCAGTGGGTAGAGACCAGGCCACCGTGGTCGCTCATCTCATTCAGCCGAACGCTCCGGACTTTAAATACTGACCGAAGGCCCGGGGCTTAGCCACGGCGATTAGCCACTAATTAACTCTTAGGACTGCCGTGTCCGTAGGCTCGGGCGTTGGAAGAAGGAAGAGAAAGAAGCCTGGTTTTCTATAGTGTAGCTTTTCTGAGTGCTGCACAGCAGCACTCCATGTGTGTAAGTGTGTAAGGCTCCATGTGTGTACGGGAAACACCGAAGCGGCTGGCTTCTTAAAATTGCTGCCCACAGGCAGGAGGCACAGGCAGCGAAATAACCGTGGTTTTTAATGTAGTCAGAAAATGGGTTGCTTTGGCAGGCAGTGCTGGCCGACTGGTTTTATTTAGATGCTGTGTAACCGAGAGGGTACTACTGTCCGGTGCTGGCAGCAGGAGGGATGTGGCTATGTATCTCACAATGGTTATTTTAACTTGGCACAAAATGAGTGTTTTCGTCGTTTTTTTTTTTTTTTTTTTGATTTTCGAGACAGGGTTTCTCCGTAGTTTTTGGTGCCTGTCCTGGAACTAGCTCTTGTAGACCAGGCTGGCCTCGAACTCACAGGGATCCACCTGGCTCTGCCTCTCGAGTGTCGTTTCTTATTAATGCTGCACAGCCAGATTTTCTTTTCCTTGAATGAAAAGCAGAATAGTTTAAACTTCAGAGTGGAAAGCGCTTACTCTGGCTTTTAGGGTGAGGTTTTCGGTGCCTGGGCTGTTTTAGTTGTTTGGTAGTGCAAATGGGGCCTTAGCTTAGAAGCCTTTGCCGGGAATAGTGTGCGTGTGTGTAGTGTTGCCTAAAGTCTTCGGACACGTTTAACTGTGAAAGTGGTAGAGGTCAGGTTAAAACTGAAGGGTCGAGCCCGCCATCTAAGGAGCATGTAAACACTGTGTGGCTCCTAGAGTCACAGCTTTGCTTTTCTCTCGTTTAGAGGGGAAAATGCCGAAGAAGAAGACTGGTGCTAGGAAGAAGGCGGAGAACCGGCGAGAGCGGGAGAAGCAGCTCAGAGCATCAAGAAGCACCGTAGACTTAGCCAAGCACCCATGCAACGCTTCCATGGTAAGCGCCCTTTGAAAGAACAGCAGGTGGCTGGAAGGCAGCACTCGATGGTACCATATAGTAAGTCTGTCTGAGAAGTTGCCGACTGCAGTGTGCTCGTGTGTTCCCTGCGTGGGAAACTTGCCAGAGGCGTGGTCACTGGTTTTGCTGAGTAACAATGATTTTTTTTTTTGGTATTTGCAAAGCCTGGCCTATCACACCTCATACACCGTGGATGATAAAGATGTTGAAGGAGAATGGATCGATAATAGGAACTGAGTGAGAGGTCCCAGCTTCTCTGTAGTCTTTAACGGTTTGTCTTACTCCTTGGGTTTCCTCATTTGTTCCTAGTGTTCTTTACTCATTGATTTCTCTGGCTTGAGCGCTCTGGTTTCTAGACATTGCTCATTTTCTTAAGTTGTTTTGCCTATGCTGAGCAGTTTTGAGACTGTGTGGCTCTTTTGAAATGTGTTATTTACAGGACTTAGTTATTATTCATGGGAGCACATACTCTGCATGGATGGGCACAGCACTGACAGCTGATAGCTCGCCTCTTTCATAAGATTGAAGCGTTCCCTAGTGTCTGTTGGACTTGTTTGCTTATAAATGACAGGAACACAGTTCAACCTTTGGGAACAGTAGTTCACTAGAATAATAACTCCATGTAACGGGAAGAAGAGAGGATGGGATAGACTGAGGGACAGCGGGAAGGAGAGGGGACGGGATAGACTGCGGGACAGCGGGAAGGAGAGGGGATGGGATAGACTGAGGGACAGCGGGAAGGAGAGGGGACGGGATAGACTGAGGGACAACTGGATCCTGGATTCTTTGCTTTGCTTCTTTTGCTCCTGTTTCTGAAGATTGCTGTCCTTCTTTTGTTCTTTCTTCTTGGTTTCTGGTCGAGTGCACCTATCAGTTTGTGGAGGTCACAGGAAGAAAGAATTCTCATAGGTTGAATTGGAGCCCCCCTTTGATGTGTGTGTGTGTGTGTGTGTGTGTGTGTGTGTGTGTGTGTGTGTGTATCAGGACTGATATTTGTGGTGTACAGGGTCAGGCTTTGTGCTACCAATATGACAAGTGGGGGCTGTATTGTAAATATCAGGCTCTTTTCAGAAAAGAGGATGCTAAACAGACAAAACCAAGTGAATGACATTCTTAAGTGCATGCAATGCGAGAAGATCTTGGTTCAGTAAAGTTGCAGTTCCGTACTGTTCCTGTATTCACTACTCTGCAGGACTAAGTAGTAGCTGAGCGTGTGGAAGGGAGCACAGCTGGCAGAGATGTTTTTACCAGATGTTCAACAGCGAGGGATGAAAGGGAGAAGTGTTAGTGTCAGTGAAGGAGTGGAGGGAAGAGTGGGATGTGTTTGGATAAAGACTGACTAATAGTGTCTTGACTCTGAAGAGCAGACCAGGCAGGAGAACTTTGAAAGCCCTATTTCAGTGTCGATAGTTTGTGATCTTTATTAATTTATGTCCTTCTGTATTTTTAGCATCTACTAAATACAGGCAAATACGATGTTTTTAGTTTTAATAGAAAATTGAGTGGGGACTTACATGTGTTTCCTGTGCAGTATTTGGTTTCTTTAAAATAGCACAAAACAAACGCAGTATGCTTAACTTTTTTGTAATACGACTTTTCTCATTGTGGATCCCAGTGTAACGTTTTTGTGTATCTTTGCTAGTGGAGTGAGTATAAGAGCTTGCACACATGGCTGAGCTGGCACTGGGTGTAATGTGGGAAAGAAAATAGTCTTTATAATGTCAATATAATATAATATAATATAATATAAATAGTCTTTATAATGTCAGTAAATGTTCTTTCTCAGCCCACAGAAATGTAATGATGTGCTTTGTATTTTACAGGAATGCGACAAGTGCCAGAGGTAAATTTCTTTATCTTTTTTTCTTTCTGTTTGAAAGTGTCCTTGTATGCTTTTTGTTGTTTGGTATAACACTTGGGGAGGAAAGGGTTTATTTCATCCTGCATCACTGAGGGAAGCCAGGGCAGACGCTCAAGGCCTTGGGGCTGGAACTGTGGCAGAGCCCATGGAGAGATGCTGCTTTCTGGCTTGCCTCCACACTTACGCTCAGCTACCTTTCTTATTTAACCCAGGACTACCTGCCAGGGACGGCACTGCCTGGGGTAGGTCCTCCTCCATCAGTTCGCAGTTGAGAAGGTGCTCCACAGATGTTGCCCACAGACCAGTCTGATGGAGGCAGTCCCTCAGCCGGTGCCCCTCCTCTCAGACACTCTAGTTGTGTGGAGTTGACAGAAACTAACCAACAGAGCTATAAAGTGGTCTCTCCTTTATCTGAAATTGACCCTATTTAAAATTTTTGTTTTACATGACAAGGCGGCAGAAGAATAGAGCATTTTGCTATTTTTGTAATTCTGTTCAGAAGTTACCAATTTGTGCACAGTGTGGTAAGTATACAACTATGAAGGCATGTCTTTATCAAATGTTTGTCTGGCAGTTGTCAAGTATAGGTGGAGCTATTTCCCTAAAATAATTCAAAATAAAGCTGAGTGGTCTTTCCTAGAGAAGGCAGGTTGGTGTTTCCTCAGTGGTCCTCACACACTCTTGCTGTGCTAACGTGTCTGATCAGAAAACATTTCTGTTGAGAGTCTTGCAGTCTTTGCCATGTTCCTCTCATCTGGGGGACATACACTGTGTATTCTTGAAGACTTGCCTTAGGGAGCCTAGTCACCTTTACTCAGATTTACCCTCAGTGTTCTTTTTGAACGAATACCCTCTTAGGTGATGGTGGTTTAAATAGAGCAGTTTGGGGTGCCCATTGATATGTGCTGTGCAGAGTGCCAGGTTAGTGCTCAGGGCTACACACAGAATATTTCTAGTATAGTTCTTGTTTTCCAAGAAGTCATTGTTTGAATTCTGCAATTAGTGGAAAGAGAAACTAGTTAAAATACACCTACCTGCCTTTGTTGTACCAAATGTAGATGAAGGCAGGGTGAGAAGAGAAGTATATGGAAGGGGACCCCTGTGTGGTCAATGTCTCACAGAGCTGTATGCCCATGCATTTCTATTGCAGACTCTCCTACTTGCCTCAGACACGGAACAGTTGGTAGCTGCTGCCCTGTGTCTGATTTCTCTCTCCCAGTTCCTGTTATCTAACTTTGCTTCTCAGGAAACAAGATACCGGCACACCGAGCATCTTCTGTTTGTCTTGTGTTCTATCTGTAGTCTGGTGGACAGTTAGTATGTTGTCTCTAATCTTGACATGCTGTCTGGTGAACAGATTTCCTGGCAGGGTTGGGGTTGGTGTTCTGTAGATGAGCTTTCAGGCTGATGTGATTTCTATATATGGATAAATTGGGCCCTTGGTCATTTTATGTATCTTTTGATAGCATGTGGCAAGAAATTACTGGTAAGTCCAAGCTAGGCTGATTTTATTGTGATTTATGAATATAAAATTAATTTTAAAGCATGTTTTTCACAATGTTTTGATTCACTTGAAATTAATAAGATTTGAAACTGTCAAAATTATTATTAGATTACAATGCATAACTTGAAACTTCTAATTTTATTACAAGAATGAATTAGCATATTGCATATAAATTATTATATAACTATGATAGCTTTTTATGGATTAATAAATTTCTAATCTCAGAAGACTGGGAAAATACACTGGTTTCATTTCTAATATTTTAGAATACAATTTCCAGAGGCACTTCATCTAGATCAAAGCAGAATTAGTGAACACATTCTTGTATGGACTAATTTGTAGGACTAATGGTGCATATGTATATTTTTTTAACCAGGAAAAACAAAGTGCATGATGAAGTCTTCAGACTGTGTCATCAAGCATGCTGGTGTCTACAGTACTGGCCTCGCTATGGTGGTAAGCTGCTTGTCCTGTCTTAGTGTAGGCTTCCAGGATAAAGCCATTTTAACCAGTATTTTAAGGCGTTTTAAAAACAATTTTTATTCCTTGAGAATTTCATCCAATATATTTCCATCATACTGGCCTCCACCTCTTCCCAGGTCTATCCCCATCTCTCTACCCAACCAACTTTGTCATTTTTATTTTGGCCCATTGAGTCCAATTTATGTTGCCCAAATACTTTTCGGTGTAAGACCTGCCGTGGAGCATGTTCAGCCTACCAGGGATCACACCCTTAAAGAAAATTGGCTTTCTTTCCCAGAAGCTATCAAATACTGGTAGCTTCTCACTACGGTGGGGCTTTCTGCTCACCTCGCACCTCCATGCATTGGTCTCACTGACTTAGAGCTTCTCGCACAGGGGCTGTGCATGCTCGCAGAAGTCACTGTGGTTTCCTGCGTGCAACTGCCTTGTTGTGTCTGGGTACACTTTGGTTTCCTCAATGGCCCTGATAACAGACCCAGGTAACAGGCACTGGAATAGGCCTTAAGTTCCAGCAGACACAATTGGTTATTCCCTTAACACGCGTGCCACTATTGTGCCAGTGGATATATCTTGCCAAGACAGTAACTGTTGTGCTAGAAAGATTTGCATCTGGGTACTGTTGCTTTCCTCCTCTAGTGGAAGGCATAGCACCTTCCAGCCTATGAAAGCCAGCCAGTTAGGAGGAAACTCATCTTTTCCTCCACTAAATGACAGTGGTTTCTTTGTAGTTTTAGTTGGTCATCCAACTGGGGTTACCATTGTACCTTTCTACAATGTTAAACAGATGACACAAATTCCCCGAGTTGTAAGACTTTTACCAGCATTCAAGTCTTTTGGTTAAATACGTTTCAAAGAACTTAAGGTTAATTTTTTTAAAAAACATTAAATTTGACCAAAAGTACCTATTAGTTATACGTTATCTTTACTAGATAGGATTTTAGAAGGACTTTTAGTGCCATAAATAAAAATAGGTAGATTATGTGTTTTGTTGTTGTTCACTAAAAGATATTTTAAATAGAGCTATGAGTTTTGCTATATTCTACAGTGTGATTTTTGCTTCATATCCAAATTACTCTGTGAGGAAAGTAATATTAGTTTTCAGTATATAGTTTATGGTAACTTCCCTAATCTGAATTTTCTCTGAGATAGCTTTGTTCTCTTAGGCGTGAGTCCTTTGCCTGTTCTTTCTTTCTGTGCTACCCTCCTTTGCCCCTCAGGTATGTGTGGGGCTGGGGAAAGTTCTCTGCTTGAGAGTCTTCTGTATTACCTCGTTGAGAATTCCTTTTTTCTTGCTAGAATACTGTCTGATGAAGGAGAAATACATGTTCAGTTTTCTAAATCTGATTTTCACAAGTCAGAATTGGTCCTCCTCCTCGCTGACCTTGTTCCTTTGCTTGCTTTTTAACAGTCTTAGTGTTTGCAGTGGTCATGTGGTAGCTGTTCTAGAACTCTTGTTTCTTTGTTGCAGGGTGCAATATGTGACTTTTGTGAAGCTTGGGTTTGCCACGGAAGGAAGTGTCTTAGCACTCATGCCTGTGCCTGCCCACTCACCGATGCAGAATGTGTGGAATGTGAGCGTGGGGTCTGGGACCATGGTGAGTGATTAGGTGCAAACATTAAACCTGGTTAGGTTGTGTGTGATCTTTCTCCATATATATTCTCTCAAATCTTAGCTGCTGGTATAATTTTAGTAATTTAGTTAGAAAGAGAATGTACCAACAGTGTTAGTAAATGTGAGTACTTTTCACCCAAGCAGGTAGAGAGGGGAGTTTGGGTGAGGACAGGAAGCCTCTCTTGAGCCCGTGACTGTTTTGTAAGAGGGCAGTTATTGTGGAGACCCACAGTCTAATGGTTCAGTTTGAAGGACATCATCACTTTTATTTTAGCTGTTGCCACAATTCTGATACTTTTCTAAAATTAGCTGCCACATTTGACAAATTATATGTATAAGAATTTTTAAAGTCATTAAGTTTGCCATATTTACCTTTGTGAGTTTTAATTTCACAGGAGGCAGAATATTCAGCTGTTCGTTTTGTCATAATTTTCTTTGTGAAGATGATCAGTTTGAGCATCAAGCCAGCTGCCAAGTTTTAGAAGCAGAAACATTTAAATGTAAGTTGTTTTGTTAGCGATTCTGAACCTAGGATTCTGAATAGTGTAAATGTGAAACTTAGTTAAAAAGGAGTAAGTTCTTTTATGTTACTGCTTAATTGTGCGTGTGTGTGTGTGTGTGTGTGTGTTTTGTTTATAGGAAAAGAATCCCCAAATAGTAGCTCAGAATTTTTTTTCTGGGGAATTTAGTGGTATATTGGCTGAGAAGTTCATTTCATTGCCTTGATCAGACATTGTGTGCTAGCTGACATTTTCACTTTTAGGTTCCCGTGCTATCTTAGTTAGGGTTTACTGCTGTGAAGAGAAACCATGACCGTGACAACTTTTATAGGAAAACATGTCGTTGGAGCTGGCTTACAGTTCAAAGGTTCAGTCCATTCTCTTCATGATGGAAAAGGGCAGTGTGCAGACAGACATGGTGCTGGGGAGTTAGCTGAGAGTCCTACATCTTGTACAGGCAGCAATATGTGGTCTGTCTCACCTAGCATGACTTGAGCATATATGAGACCTTAAAACCTACCCTCACAGTGACACACTCCTTCCAACAAGACCACACGTAAATAGTGCCATTCCCTTTGGGAACCATTTTCTTTGACCGCATATCCCAACCCCCTCCTCCCCTTTGTCAGTGCCTTCAGTATGTACCTCTCCTCATGGATTTTCTGCAGGGGCTCAGGCTTCTTCCGGGAGAGTTAACCTTATGTTTGGTTGGACATCTGAGATCTGAGTTTAATCTATACCTCCAGTTCTACATTTTCCAGTTGAGAACCAATGTGACTGATTGGAGTAATAGTAATAGAATTAACTTTACAGATAATTTCAAAGGCTAATTGAAATGAGAGTATGTGTAAAGTATTTTTCTATGCTGCCTGGTATTGACTGCCCCAGGGAAAAGACTTAGATTCCCAGTCACTCACTTCACTGTGTGATTCTTGTTCTGGAGGAGATGCTAATTCTATCTTTCGTCTACAAATTTTAGTTGCTAAAGTTGCTAATCTTAGATACTTACTGTACCCTGTATATAAATTCAGTATTTACATAGAAATTTTCACAGGGGTATTTCAAAGTGTGCTGCTTGTATGCCCCCTAGACTTCTGCATAGCGCACAGGGTAGAAATAGGATTGTTTGTGGAGGAAGCATGGGTGCTGTGTGTGTTTATAGGGCTTGAGCCCTGCAGGTCAGTGGCTGACTGGTTCAGCTAGGACCTCATTGAGAAAGCACCGTGATTCAGTGACAGAAGTAATTTGCAAGGCCTGAGTAACTGACTGGACTATAAGATGCTTTTGTCTCTCACAGGTGTTTCCTGCAACCGGCTTGGCCAGCATTCGTGTCTCCGATGTAAGGTGTGTCTCCTTGCTGTCTCATTTAGACTTTGATTTGGGTCCCAGTGCTCTTGCCCCAGGTCTTGGATGCTTATTAGTGCTAATATATATGGATCTTAAAACTTGTGTGGCTTTTTTTCTTTAATTTTCTTTAATTAACTAATTGACACTAGACTTTGCTGTGTGGTCCAGGTTGGCCTTGAATTCACAATCATTCTTCTGCCCCCACCTCCTGAGTATTGAGGTTCCTGGCCTACACTTCCGTGTCAGGCTAATTCATTTGATTTTGAGATAGACGAAAGTCAGTGACTTAAGTGGCCTCTACCACATGTCCCCAGTGTCTCAGTCCAGTGGTTTTTTTTGTTTGTTTGTTTTTTGTTTTTAAGCCTTATGTTTGTAGAGAGCATTGTGACCAGAATATTGGGACTGTGGGAGGTAAAGATTTCCATGTCTCTTTTGGCTTTCTCTGGCATTTCTGTTAGACAAAGATCACCAGATAACTTAATTATTTCAGAAACATTTCTTGTTTTTAACCTTTCTTGTCTGCATCCTGTCTGTTTTCTTTCTGTTCTGCTGGGTGCTACAGGATGGCTTTCCGTAGAGCTTTTAGTCTCTGCTGCTTAGAACATGTCTGCCCCGGCTCACTTTACCCCGTTCATCTTGCGGTGTCGGCTAAGATCCACATTGCCAGGCGCCCTCTGCATTTCTCTCAGTACTTATGCCTGGCCATTCTTTTTCCGCTCCTTAGTTGGGTGGTGGTGTCCTCTGAGATGAACAGACTACCCACCATTTTCTTGTCAAGGACCTCAGATATGATTAAGTAGATAACCACTTCCCCTGTCCTCTCTGTCTGCCTTGGTTAGGTCCTGTTTCTTAGGTCCTGTTTCTGAAGAGTCCTTACAAAATCAGCTTCCTTTAAAAAGTCCAAAGAGCATGTGACTGGTCCCAGTCCAACTCTTAATTCAGTCTGAGACAAAACTATGTTCAAATTTTCTTGCAGTATTGAATGGTGTCTTTTTATATCTTTTAAATTAAACTTGGCATATTTCTGCTTCTCCTGTATAGGCCTGTTTCTGTGATGAACATACAAGAAGCAAGGTGTTTAAACAGGAAAAAGGGAAACAACCTCCTTGCCCAAAGTGTGGACATGAAACTCAGGAGACGAAGGATCTCAGCATGTCAAGTAAGGCTTCTCAGGATGCAGTGGAGTGGTTGGCTTTCACACTTAGCCTGAATTTATCATTGTCTTTTTTTTTTCTGAGTGCATATGTGTGTGGTGTTGGTTGTGTGTGTGTAGACCAAAGATGAACTTTAGGTGCCATTCCTCCCGGAGGCCATTGAGACAGCTTCTCATTTGGACCCACCTGGCTTGACAGTCATTGACAGTTCCACGAGGCTGGCTGGCAGGAATCCCTTGGTGTCTGTCTCCACGATGCTAGGGTTATTAGCACAGCTCACTTCTTAAGTAGATCCCGGGGATCTGAACTGTGTCCTCTGGTGTATGTGGCAAGCACGTTACCGGTTGTCTGTTCTGTTCCTGCTGCTGTGGTGAAATACTGTACTGAAAGCAATTCAGGAAATTCAAGTCAAAACAATGGCACTCGGAGCAGGTGCTCTCATGTGCGCACTCGGGGAGTGGTGAGTGCATGGTGGTGCTGAGCTTGCTTTCCCATTCTCAGTAGTCTAGGGTCCCTGTCCAGGGAATGTCCTACCCACAAGTAAGGTGGACCTTCCCTCACAATTAACATAGTAAGATTCACCAGGCATGCTCAGAGGCCTCTCTCCCAGGTGATTCTAAATTCTGTCAAGTTGATAGGTAACTAGCAATCATGTTGACTGAGCCTTCTCTCTGACTGGTGTGTGTGTGTGTGTGTGTGTGTGTGTGTGTGTGTGTGTGTGTGTGTGTGTGTATGTGTGTGTAATACATCTTTTTGTATGAAAGGATAAACATATTGTCATAGGAAGTGGGATTTTATAGCCTTGGAAAATGTGTGGTACAGTTTTTCAGTTTGATACAAGAAACATTAATCACTGAAGTTTGGTGTTTGCCTTACTTATTTGTGATTGTGTTATATTTGTGTATTTGTGACTTCTGTGAGAAAACTAGGAAAATCCTTCCTTCTCACATAAGAGTAAACCCTAGTGTGACAGTACCTCCCACGGCAGTGGGACATGCGAGCATTGGCACTGACGGCTGACATGCATGTTGCTGTCTCTTGTAGCTCGCTCCTTGAAGTTTGGCCGGCAGACTGGAGGTGAGGAGGGAGATGGAGCTTCTGGGTATGATGCCTACTGGAAAAACCTGTCATCTGACAAGTATGGAGATACTGGATACCATGATGATGAGGAGGAAGAGGAGGAAGAGGAGGAGGAGGAAGAGGATGGGAAGGACTCGGATACCGAGTCATCAGAACTGTTCACTAGTTTGAACTTAGGAAGGACCTATGCCAGTGGCTATGCTCATTATGAGGAGCAAGAGAACTAGGAGCAGTTCCCACTGACACTTGTGAGAAGAGCAGACTGAATCATGAGGATGCTCAGACGTCCTCTCCCTTGGCCTTGTCCAGAAGGCTAGTCACACTAGGCTCAGGGTAGGTTCTGGGTGTTTATAGGAACTGATATTGGACTTCTAGTGTAGAAGTGAGTTAAATGTAAGGCAAACAGAGTATCATGGATCATTACTTCTTTCAGTCACCTAGTAGGCTTTACCAATTAGATGCATATAAACTACACGATAAAGGAGTAGAAAGGAAATATATTTATTTGAAATTAAATTGCTGTTTTTATTAAAAGTACTGCTTATAAACTCATGTATCTGATTTTAGAAAGTGTAACGGGTAAAATTGGTGTATTCTTCCATTTATTTCAGCCCATACAATGATAGTCATATTGTGTTCTGAATTTTCACTCACTGTTTATGCTGTCTTAAGTAGTCATGTCTGTGTTAGCGGTGGACACGTTCCCTGTTTTCTTACAATGAATGTCCTCACCAATGCTTGTTAATGCCTCACTGTTTGACAGACATCTAGCCGTTTTCATACATGTGATGCCAGGACTGATGTTGCTGCTTCCCCTGGGAATCCCATTTTTAAATAAATCTAAGATTATACTTGAAAACTTTCAATACTGAGTTCTTGGTATGTTTCAGCAACTTATTTTGGAAAACATTTAAGTATTTTTCTATAAACCGGTAAAGTTTTGACCTAATATTGGCACAAAAATCTGGGAATAATTACAAGACACAATTAGTGATAACTGGGGAACTGACGATCCCTGGCTCAGATGTCTGGTTCCTGCTTGCATTAACAGTGACCTAGGCTATCTTTACTTCTCTTCTGTTGCTGTGATGAAATACTCTTAAAAAGCAACTCCAGAAGAGAGGGTTTATTCCAGAAGGATTTAGTCCTGTTATGGCAGGAAAGGTATGGTGGCAGGAACATAGATCAGCTTGTCATGCTCCTTCAGCAGTAAGGAAGCAGGGAGAACAGGACGTGGAATGGGACTGGAAAACCAGGTCCACAGTGATGTACAGGGGCTCTGCCTCCTTCTGATACAGCACCACCGGCTGGAACCAAATTCAAACACACGAGTCTAGGGGGATTTCACATGGAAACCACAGTCATGGTAGAAGGGAGATTCTACTGACCTGCTGAATTTTGGATAGCTGGAGAAAATTTGGAGACAACTCCTGTTTTTAGAGAAGTATAAGAACAGCAGAGGGTGCAGAAGCACAGTAGGAGCTGTGTGTGGAAGCCAGAGGACCTCTGCTGTCATAGGAGAAAAGCTTTTCCTGTCCTGTCAATTCAAAGGGATGTATCACACACGTTGGGACACCCTAGGAAACCTGAGCAATCCTCACAGGTGAGACTGAGGCATGTAGGTGCATTTGAAGACTGGTCCTAATGCAGAGGCTTTTCCACACAGCGTGCCCTTTAGTATGTAGCCTAGAAGCTCAAGTAAAACAGACTCAAGACCTGAGAAAACACGGGAGCTATAAGAATTAGCATGCATTGCAAAGAGCCAGAGGAATGTGCTAGAGATATAACTGCTGAAGAGGGTCAGGAACGAAAACTAATGTCATGGCATCCCCTGCTGTAGGGCTCCTAGATTACCCACTAGTGTTGTTTTGCTAGAGGATATAACTCTATGATTAAGATCCTGGAAGATGGTCCAGATTCATCACCGGGATGGTGTCTACAAGCAAGGTAAAATCAATGACCTGTTTGTGCAGGCTTTCTAGGTTGGTGGCAAAGGGAAGGAAATGTTGACAAGGCTGGCAAGATGGTATGCTGGGTAAAGGTGCTTGCCACCAAGACTGATGCCCTGAATTCAACCCCTGGTACCCACAAACAGTGAAAGGAGAGAACTGACTTCTGCAAGTTGTCTTCTGACCACCAAATGCGTGTGGGGCATATGCTCCCTTCCCCCTGCCTTGCATACAAACAAAAATAATTAAAATATTCAGAAGGTTTAGTGTATTGTGTATGATGGAGTTGATGAGTTATTCAGCTAAAATATCCACCAGATAATCATGTTCCACAAGAAGGTTCATTGGATATCATTCAACAAAACCAGAGACAAGTACAATGACAACATTTAGGAAAGCTTTTTGGAGGCCTGTTTGTCTACTAGATAAGTGTAGGGCTCAGTGTCCCAATGATGAGTTAGGCAGAACGGTGGTTAAGTGGTGTGCCCAGTTGTCAAAAATCAGGTTATAGTATAATGACCATCAAGGTGAGAAAAGCCACGGAGACATAACCTGCAGGCTATGAAGGTTAGCACACAGTAGGTGAGTGGCCAGACAGATGGGCAAGTCAAGAAGACCACATGTGTCCATTGACAAAATTAAGGCTAAAATGATAGGAAGGCTGAGAGTTGGGCCCTAGTTATGTAGTGTGTGGGTCAACTCATGAACCAGAGCAAATCTGCAGTTGCTTCTTGTCAAGTGTTTGGTCATGGTAATGGTAAATAACCCACCGCCCCAATAAAGTCCCCGAGGGTCTATATTTACATCAGTTTTCTAGTAACGTTACCAATGAAGAGAAGAGGGTATGAAAGCCTTTCGAGTCTTGGTATCTGTTAGACATAATAGTCTATGTCAACATCCAAAACTGCCTGTTTCCATGAGTGTGAAGGAGATCACTATTAATTTTGACAAAATTTAAACTTAGAAATTTTTTGTTTTGTTTGAGACAGGGTTTCCCTATATCTTTGGAACCTGTACTGGAACTAGCTCTTGTAGACCAGGCTGGCCTCGAACTCACAGAGGTCTGTGATTAAAGGATTAAAGGCGTGTGCTACCACTGCCTGGCTTAAACTTAGAATGCTTTTACTGGATTTGTGGAAGACTGAATAGAACCCCTAAAACTCACTACCTATGTTAGTTTGAATTGTAACAAAATACCTGAGGGACTAGGTTTATAAGAGAAAAATGCTTATTTTAGCTCATGGTTTTTGAGACTCCAGACCCTTCGAGGCTAATTTCCCAGTGACTTAGACACATTTTGTTTGGCTGTGCTGCTAGAGGTTAAAAGGACTGACTGCTCTCACAGAGGTCGTGAGTTCAATTCCCAGCAACCACGTGGTGTCTCACAACCATCTGTAGTGAGATATGGTACCCTATTCTGTTGTTCAATTGTATATGCATTTATTAAACAAAAGAAGGGGAACTGTAAATGTACAGCTGACAGATCTACTGAACTATCCACAAAAGCATGTACGTACACTGCACTTGGAATAACCCATTTTTGCAGAGCTACAGGGACATCTGTCCTTTGGATAAGTCACTGTCGATACTGTAGAAATCTTGTAGGCTCTGGACTCTTTAAGGCTACTTTCCCAATGACTTAGACACATCCTACTTGGCTGTGCCTCTTAAAAGACTCCACCGTCCCAATTAATGCCACTCAGAGAGACAAGCACATTGGCCTCTGGGAGATACTCAGTATCCACATTATAGAACTATTCTCATGTCCAAGGGTGATAAACAGTAGTGCCCCCAGGAGTGATGGCAGAGCATGGGCTTTCTTTTAGGGATGTAAATGGTCCATCATATGTGCATATTTTATCTCTGGGTTCTGGACACCTAGAATTTTGTGTCCTCTGGAGACCTTAGGCAGAGGACCTAGTAAGTGCCCTTTTTTAACAGACTATTCCTGCCACCTCAGTGTTTGTAGCTCTGTATGTCCAGGGATTGAAGGAAGCCCGAGAACTCTGTGTCTTGGCGGAGGTGAGAGAACAGAGTGCCAAGGACTCCTGGGCTTTCTAAATGTGCCTATGACAGCTGTTGGTTACCATGGCTAGTGGATGCAGCCCGTGAAAGGCAGAATGCAGATGAGGGTTTGAGTCATGGCACCACGTGAGCCACCCAGATCAGCAGACTTAGGAGCTTTCAGGCAGCTTTGGGCTTGGTCCCAGCTGCACAGTGCTGCCTCGAATGTATGTGGTGTTGGGTGACTTGTTTGGCTGTTTTGGCACAACATGGTCCAACTCTGTCAAGTAATTATTAGGTTAATATCCTTATGCAGGGTCTAATCACTGTCACTGAAATAAGTTTCGTGTTTGGTTTGGCAAACCTTTTTCCTGGAATATTGTGTCGCTGCCACCTCGACCCACAAGGATGACGCGACACCGGACCTCTTCTTGCACGCAGTTTTACTCAAGACCTTTTACAATGGCTTCTCTTCTTCTCTCCTGCAATAACTTCTCTCCCCAGGCAAGCCCCTCCCAGCCCTTAAGTAGGCCTGGGCCGCCAACCCTGGATTGCCACTTAGGCACTGTCCATAGGTCCACTCACATGCAAGCATCTTGCGATCATTGGGTGAGTAACGCAAGAGCCTGGCCTTCTCCAAATATGGGGTTGTTTACCCCGGAGAGCACTTGCTTTCAGGATGGGGGCGGGGGGCGGAAGCCAGCGCCATTTTCAAGGTGCGGCTCCACGCAGCTCTCCACAATATTGTATTGATATATTTGAGAGTAAGCTTTATAACCCGCCCACAAGCCTCTGCTGTTGCAGAATGTATTAGTTCATTCAGAAAGTGAGTAGACCAAGTAGCTGGCCCTACTGTGGCTTCACACGATGACCCTGGTTATGTAATGAGAACCATTCAAAGGACGACACGATATTAAATTGTAATCATATTTGGTGGCTCAGAAGCAGTGTAGTGATAAATCAGACATAACTGGAAAGTCTTCATAAGGGTGCAGAGCAAAAACACAATGTGCGTTTATACAAGGGGGCTTTGATAAAGTGCAAAGGCAAAATAATACGCTAAGTGCCACTGAGCTCATTCCAGAGTCGCTGGTCTGGATTTAGCTCCCAAGGTCAGCCTGCCCTGTGCTTTCTCTGGAGTAGAGCAGCTGTAGAAGCAAACTGCTCATGCCACTGCTATGGGTCATGAGCCGGAGCATTGCTGCGCTGTTACAAACTTCAGGACCCACCTCAGCACGGGTCCCTGCAGCCCCTCATTCCTGCATCATAGTCCCAGAGCATCTCTGGCTGCATGTCTGGGCTTTTCAGCTGTCACTGGGGTATGAGATGTCGCTGGGTTTCATTAGGGTCCACTTTGGAGTAACACAGAGGACAGGGTATTAAGACTTGTAGGAGTGACCCATGATGGAGACCACAGCAAGTGAGGAAATCTCTCTCTTTTTCCTTTTTCACGGCAGCTTCCAATGTTCTCTCTGAAGAGATTGTGTGAAATAAACAAAAAAAAAAATTAGCTTGTCATAAGACTCTGTCACCTGGGGAACCAAACCAGGGGAGTTTCTGTTCTGGTCTCTAACTCTTCCCTTAGTCTTGCTCCTTGAGGACTGCACATTTAATATGGCGTTTCCTAAAGAAACTGGGCATCCGTGGGTGGAAATTGCTAACACCAGGCTAACTGTATGCCTAAGAAAAGTGAAAATACAAAAAACAAACAAACAAGCAAAAAGCCAGGAGGTACAAATGAAATCTCGGATAAGGAGAGAAAGCTCTAGCAACAATCCAGAGATAGAAGGGTGAGCTCCATGAGACTAAGCTGGACAATGAAAAAAAAAAACACTTAAAAATGATTCTTAATGTTAATGTGTCTGGGTAAATGTCACATATGTGTGTGTGTTGGTGGGAACCAGAAGAGGGTG